GCCATCCCCGACGCCGACGCCATGCTCGACCTCATCGACCGCGGCAGCAGCCAGGGCGGCGCGCGCGGCCGGATATGGGCCATCGACCCCATCGACGGTACCAAGGGCTTCCTGCGCGGCGGCCAGTACGCCGTGTGCCTCGGCCTCATGGTCGACGGCGACGTCAAGGTCGGCGTGCTCGGGTGCCCGAACCTGCCCGTCGACGACGCCGCGCCGTTGACGGCCGACATTGGCGGCGCCCACCAGACGGACGAAGAGGGCCGCGGCGTGCTCTTCTCGGCCGTGCAGGGCCAGGGCGCCACGAGCCGCCCGCTCGGCGCCGGCGCGCTGCGCGAGGCCAAGGCGATCTCGGTCAAGCCCGTCACGGACCTGTCGAGCGCCACGTTTTGCGAGAGCGTCGAGTCGGGCCACTCGAACCAGTCCGAGTCGGCGCAGATCGCCCAGAAGCTCAACATCACCAAGCCCAGCGTCCGCATGGACTCGCAGGCCAAGTACGGCTCGCTCGCGCGCGGCGCCGGCGACATCTACCTGCGCCTGCCGACGTCCAAGACGTACCAGGAAAAGATCTGGGACCACGCCGCCGGCGACCTCATTGTGCGCGAGGCCGGCGGTCAGGTCACTGACACCACGGGGAGCCGGCTGGACTTTAGCGTCGGGAGGACTCTGGCGAGCAACAAGGGCGTCGTGGCGGCACCGGCGGCCATCCACGGCCAGGTCATCAAGGCTGTTCAGGAGGTCCTCGGGCTGAGCAAATGAGGACAGGAGCCATGTCTATCGCAAGAGGCCCAGTAATGGTACAGATTGTGGCACGCACACGCATGCCGCCACCCCAGCATAGGCAGAGGAGTAAATACCCCAGCATAAGCAGGGGAGTAAATGTACAAACAAAAGTGCGCCACCGTAATTGCGCGCCCATCTATTTGATCTTCTTGGCCTTGAGCTTGATGGTCTCGTCGTTGACAAAGATGCCCTTGCCCTTGTACGGCTCGGGCCGCCTCCACTCGCGGATCTTGGCCGCGAACTGGTGCATGACCTCCTTGTCGATGCCCTCGAGCAGCACCCTCGTCGGCTGCGGCGCGCTCGCCTTGACGCCTAGGGGCACGCCCATCTCGACGGGGTGCGAGAAGCCGAGCTTGAGGCAGACAAACTGCTGGCCCGGGTACGCCTCGAGGTGCGGGCGCGTGTCGATCGTGGCACGGTACCCGATGCCCACCAGCCGCAGCACCGTCGTGTGCCCTTCTGACACGCCCCGCACGTACCGGTTGAGATACGACCACGTCGTCCCTGTGTGCACACGCAGAGGTCAGCTCTTTTCCCGTCTTCCTTGCTCGGCAGGCCGCCCGTGTGGGAGCGAGACATACCCCACATCTCCTTCTGGTTTTTCTTCGACGCGTCTTGTATGCTCAGCTCCATCTGCTTGGCCTCGGTGTCATGGTTGATGTTGATGTACGGCGGCACCGTCAGGTCGAGTTTCCCTGGTCCCCGTGTGTGTGAGCGAGAGCGCTTCCTCCATCATCCGTAGCAGACTCACCCAGCGGGCCCGACACCGTCACTGTCCGCGTGGGAATCCGCAGGTACGACGTCGCATCCTTCTTGACCACCGGCTCGCCAATCAGTATCTCCACGCCCGGCGGGATCGTGATGGGCGTCCGGCCGAGCTTCGAGGGCCGCGCGGGCGTCGCCGAGAAGTGCCGTGGTCGGCCGGCCGGGGTCGGTGGTGTTTGGAGGGCGGGGACGAGGAAGCTCGGGAGGGTCGCGACGACGGGGGAGGAGGACAAGGCGAGGAGCCGGGAGCGGCTGGGGGCGAGCATAGTCGCGGTCGGGAGGGAAGAGACTCGGCCGGGTTATGGGAGAGTAGGTGGTTGTGGCGCGCGACCGACAGGGAGGGCGGATTGGGGGGGGGGGTATTGGCTGGCCGCGGCGCTGAATGCTTCAGTAGCTGGGATGGCTTCGAAAAATGATTGAGAGTCGGGAAAGCTTCGGATTGGCGGGACAGCTTGGCGGCAGATCCTTGCAGCTTTCCGGCTTGGCGGCTGGGTGGGTCTCAAAGCTGAAGCTGGACTGCAAGACTGCTTAGTCAGGATTGAGGTTCCCCCTGAACAACACAATACCAGAGTTGACGACGGCGGGGTGCGCTGGGTGAAGTTGTGACGATGTTTCAACTATGCTCGCTCACTGACTCGGAGATCTGGATCTGTGATTTGTCTTTCCCTTGCTTCTGAAATTGTCCTGGGATGGGTCAAAGGGATCATCAATCCGGCATCCAAGCAGCAGAACCCCAACCTCCAACATCCAGCTACCTCTTTATCGTACGTGAGACAGGTTGGCATATAGACCGCCTGCTAGGCATATAGGCTCTAAATGGCGCTGGGCGATCTCGTCAAACCTGAGGATCTCGGACAGTCTTCTAGGTGTCTCCTGAGGCATGTCCTGTTTGTATTGTCCCGGGTCAATGAACGCAGTTCTTTCCTTGACTTGACCTGTCATTCGGTACCTAGGTCCTTTCTAACATGTCTTAACGGCTCACTCCTCTACTTAGTATTTCTATGCTATCGGTATTCTCAAAGGAAAAAAACACTGCAACTGTTTGGTGCTGCGGTTCCAAGACAAGATGCATAATCGACATAGCTGTCTCTCAACAACCGGCACTTCTTTCCCCATGGGTCGCTCTTGCCCCGTCATATTTTCGCACCACACCTCCTCCACTTCAGTATTTTCCAGTCCGACTTTCAAGAAACCTCTCCAAGCCTTCTCATCCACCACCTCCTCCATTCATCCTCACTCTCTGCCTCTCACTACGGCTTCACCCCTCGCCAACCCAATCCTTCCCCCAAAGCAAGCGTTCCACGGGCTCCTCAATATCTTCAATCTTACTTTGCGCATTTGACACTTTCGCCATGGTGGCCAGCCAACTTAGGGTCTTCATGACCCTTCTCACCCTCGCGGCACCTCAAACCCAAGCATTCGGCTGGAGAGCAGACAAGAGGGCGGTTATTGGTAAGAATTCTCAGGCACGACACCCTTGTGCGCAAAACACTGACGACAATGCTTTATAGCAATCACAGAATCTACAGAGGCCATTCAAGAACAACCAAATCGCAATCTATACTCGATCGCCCTCGCAGAACTTCAAGAGCTCGAGTCACAACCGTTCTGCCACCGCGTCGCCGCTCGTCTGCTCGTCAACAACTGCCAACTCGTCGACGGCAAAGATGAAGCAACAATTCTTACGGACAGTGGCCGGCAGGTGCGAGACTTTGTCGACTCTTACGCTGCCAGCCTCGCGATTTGCGACCTGGAGAGAGGGAGTTTCAAGATCCCCCCAGAGTGCGCCAAGTTCAGAGAGGCGTCTCTCAGCCAAATCGCCATTCGCAATTTCGGTCAGGCTCAACTTCATGTGAGCGAGGCTGAGATTGGACTGTGCTTGTCGGCCATGGCGACATCTGATGCGGCATGGAGTACATGGATCAGCTATCGTCACAAGGCACTGCGGTTCTGCGAGGCGGCCCGAGGGGAGAATGAGAGAGACCAGAGCATCCTCCTCTATCAGAGACTCACCAAAGTGATCGAAGGCCTTACCAACGGTGTCGAAGCCGAGCTCAAGAAGAGAATGGACGAGCTTGACAATCGCGCCCGACAAACTTTCGATAACCTCGGGCAACTTTCGACACGCATCGACCAGCTGGACGATGGGCTGTCCAAGATGGGACAATATCTGTCTGGTGACCTCGAAAAGGCCATGAAGAAATCGGCAGATCTCATGAACGGGGGGCTGCAAAATGCCGAGAGCCTCGAAAAGTTCCTCGGTGCTTTGCTCAAGAACATTGCCGACAAAAACGCCCAGATGGCATCTGCACACGAGCTTGCCGTCCGGCAGACCTCCTCTCAGGTCAGCAATGAGGTGGAAGCACTGGGACAAGTCGTCGCTGCCGTCGGTGCTTCTTCTCTCGTATTGCAAGAGAAGATCGTAAGTGACCCCAACCTGGTCAACCCCCCCCAAGATCCAATCGCTAACAGTCTGTCGGCAGACATCAACAACCAACATGGTGGACTCATTAGCCCGTCGACACGACGTTCTCGAGGATGGTCTCGGCCGGCTGCTTGTTACTACCCAAAACCTTGCCTCCAACCATAATCTTCACACCAAGAGAGTCGAACAAGCCGTCAATATCACCAGCGAACTCCTCGACGCGCTCGAGGAAACCGCAACGACTGCCTCAACACTGAACAAGTCCTTCTTGAGCCGCACACCATCCGGCAACTGGTGGCCTTACATTATTTGCCCCGTTGCATCACTCGTCCTGGGATCATACGGACTTGAGCCTTCAGCATTCCGCAACCTCGGACTACTTGCACTTGGCGAGGGCATTGGTCTCATCGTCTCCATCTCCACGTCCGGCCGCCTGGACACAGTCTACCCGTTTTTTCTCACCAACACGACCACCCCCGGTCTCCGCATCTAGCTACACAGTCCTCGCTACCCTTCAGGGCATACACGCACACAATCTTGGCCCATTTTTTCATTCATTAATAGGGGCGCACCCACATACCATTTCTTGGAGAGGGAGACGATTTTGATGAGTCACGACGGGGATGAGAGCAATGATACCCATGCTATTCAGCTAGCATACGAGGCACGAGACGAGCTCGCCTGCTATTAGGTAGACGCAAGGCAGATAACACTTTGGACCTATTCGCAGTTGCTGTGCCTGTGCTGTGACGGTGATGATGGCCCCCCCTCAAGATGCAGCCCCCACAATGTGGGCAATCCCCATTGTCTCGCTGCAAGGACAATCCGCTGACCCTTGGAAATGTGATTATTTAACCAAAGTTAGACAAAAGCACCATCGAGGAAGCGTATCCTCAATCCAAGTAATTCTCATACTGTGATGCGAAAAAGCGGGGGCGGAGGGCAACTACCACCACCCCCCCGTCGCGGGGCTGCGTGCGCACCCGTCTGTCGTCTACCGCTTTTCCGGCCATGCATTCCATCAAATACGGGGATTGTAGTATAGTGGTCAGTACTTCTCGTTGTGGCAGGTTGTCAAATAACCGACACAGCGATCCGAGAGGACCCAGGTTCGATTCCTGGCAATCCCACATCTTTTTGCTTGTCTTCCTCACTCTTTTTTGTTTCTGTAAACGCATGAGACATGTGTGCTTTTATTTTGCCAACGGGGTTCCAGCGCGGGGTTAGTTGTGCTAGAGTGTTCGGGTGAATAAGCGGCTCCAAGAAAGAGAGAGGGTACCAAATAGCAATTGTCTCGAGGGTTGCAGGTGGTGGTGGTGGTGGTGGTGACGCCTCGCGCAAAGAGGTTGCGTAGGCATTTTACAGCTTCAAGTATAGTATCTGGGCTATACCGTTTAGTGGTTTTCTGTCTCGATACATACACGATCCACATTCCCCGAGGGACGTGATAGCTGAGCAATGAGAACAGCGTGACTCTCTCCCAGCCCAGCCCGGCCCCAGTCGCCACCTCCATCAAGCCTTGCCCCATTGAGAAACCACCCCCTGTCTATCAGTCTTCGCCCAGACACCTCGACGGTGGAAGGTCTTTGTGGCAAAGGAGAGACGGATGGCTTCAAATTTGCAACCCCCAGTGGATATCTCGGCTTTCCATACCCACCTAGACGTCAAAGGCCGATGGACTGAGGAGCCTGCGTTGGCGGTGACCTGATCAGCAAGGGAGCACAACCGAAATCACCAACCAAGGAACCGCGTTGAAGATATCATGCCGTTTCGCATGTATTTCAGAATGTTAGAAAGGGCCGACTGGTCTGTGTCAAAAAGTACAGTACATCCAGCAGATTGGCATGCCCTCTGTGATCAATAGAGAATCGACAAGGACAAATCGTCCACTAAGTTCAAGGTGCTCAACTCCAAGCAGAACAGTCGCTAACTGCCCCAGCTCGTATAATCAATTATCAACCCACGGTAACCCGCACGTCGATGCGGAACCAACACCCCCAAGCAAGCATGCCGCGTTGGGAAGCATGACTTACTCCTCGCCCTCAAGAGGGGCCTCCTCCTCGTACTCCTCCTCCTCCTCGTCAACACCAGCATCCTGGTATTGCTGGTACTCGGAGACGAGATCGTTCATGTTGGACTCGGCCTCGGTGAACTCCATCTCGTCCATACCCTCACCAGTGTACCAATGCAAGAAAGCCTTGCGCCTGAACATGGCAGTGAACTGCTCGCCGATGCGCTTGAAGAGCTCCTGGATGGCCGTCGAGTTGCCGACAAAGGTCGACGACATCTTGAGGCCACGGGGAGGGATCGAGCAGAGGGCGGTCTGGACGTTGTTGGGGATCCACTCAACGAAGTATGACGAGTTCTTGTTCTGGACGTTGCGCATCTGGTCCTCAACCTCCTTCATCGAGACCTTTCCGCGGCTTGGGGACTGTTAGCGGCACTCGCAAAGCATGGGAAACATGGAAACTTACAAGATGGCGGAGCAGGTAAGGTAGCGACCGTTGCGGAAGTCAGAGGCAGCCATCATATTCTTGGGGTCGAACATCTGCTGCGTGAGCTCGGGAACCGAGACGGCGCGGAAGGAGTGGGCGCCGCGGCTGGTGAGAGGGGCGAAGCCGACCATGAAGAAGTGGAGACGGGGGAAGGGAACCATGTTCACGGCGAGCTTGCGGAGATCGGAGTTGAGCTGGCCGGGGAAGCGCAGCGAAACCGTGACACCCGACATGACGGCCGAGACGAGGTGGTTGAGGTCGCCGTACGAGGGGTTGGACAGCTTGAGCGTACGCATGCAGATGTCGTAGAGAGCCTCGTTGTCAATGCAGAAGGTCTCATCCGAGTTCTCGACCAGCTGGTGGACGGAGAGGGTGGCGTTGTAGGGCTCCACGACGGTATCCGACACCTTGGGGGAGGGGACGACGGAGAAGGTCGCCATCATGCGGTCGGGGAACTCCTCGCGGATCTTGGAGATGAGGAGAGTACCCATACCGGCACCGGTACCACCACCGAGCGAGTGGGTGATCTGGAAGCCCTGGAGGCAGTCGCAGCCCTCAGCCTCGCGACGGACGACATCGAGAACTTGGTCGACAAGCTCAGCACCCTCGGTGTAATGACCCTTGGCCCAGTTGTTGCCGGCACCGGACTGGCCAAAGACGAAGTTGTCGGGGCGGAAGAGCTGGCCGAAGGGACCGGCACGGACGGCGTCCATGGTACCGGGCTCGAGATCGACGAGGACGGCGCGAGGAACATACTTGTTGCCGGAAGCCTGGACACGCAGTTGTTAGCTGATGTCATACGACACCATGGGAATCTGCCGACGTACCTCGTTGAAGTAGACGTTCATGCGCTCGAGCTGGAGCTCGGAGGTGCCGTTGTAACTATCTAGGCGGTGAGCAAAATGCGGCGTGTCAAACGGAGTCTGGCATTACATACACGCCATTGCTGTCGAGGCCGTGCTCGCCAGAGATGGTTTGCCTGGTGTCACAAGTCAGTGTCGGAGCTCCTCAAGTCGTCCATGGGGTCGGCTCATCAGCAGAGGGAGCATACCAGAAAGCGGCACCGATTTGGTTACCCTGAAGGCCATGACTGTCAATCCAAGTCCACTACAGATCGAGCTGTCGATGATTGCTTCAACTTACACACTGGCCGGTCTGGAGGTGAACCTATTTTGGAAATATTCAGTCAGCGAGCGGCTCGGGGGAGTGCGTTCATCATCAGAAGTGGTGCCTAGAGCTCAAGTGCCCCGGGTGGGGTAGATTGAGGCCGTTCCAACGACCATCGTCAAGCGCAGCCTGGGAGGAGGCGACACGGGGGAGTGCTTACAATCTCGCGCATGTTGATGGTTGATGAATCTCTGACGGAGAGGCGACAGGTTGCGAGGGCAGGCGGTGATGGTGCAAGAAGACGGTGGTTGACGGCGTGGTGGTGGAGGTTCGAGGTTTGGGTCAAATGGCTCGGGGAGATTTGTTGATTTTGGGGCGACAAAATGAAGAGTGGGTCCCTCACCGCTTGTCGGGGTGTCAGGCACGACTATCACGAAACGGGAATGGAAGAAGGAGGTGGCCCCAGCGCCCGCCGCTTGTTTACCCAGTCGGACGAATCGACGGACCCGTCTCGACCGCGCTTGACCTGTTTGGGCTGGGCGAATTCAACGTGGGGTTTGTTTTTTTGGTGGGGTATCACCAACCTCGTCCTCTGGCATCTCGGCTCGCCTTGACAGCAGAAATCATGGGGCAACCGGGTATCTTTGGCGATCGATGATATCTATTGACTTGACTGTGAGGGGGATGGGGCTTTCAGAGCCTGAAAATGCCAAACTCTTTCGATCAAGATTCACTGCGCCGGTCCTCATTCAGAAGCTCGCCCACCTCCGTTGATGACCAAGAGAGGGACCCTCAACACACCACAATGTGGCTGCCTGATCTCTGGAAACACCTCCCTCCTCTGCACACCAGCCAATCTACAGAGTTGATTAAAGGAATTCGCGGCACAGATGACTACATCATGTCAATACTTCAGAGAACCCTTCAGCAATTGGAAAACATGGGTGCCCGGACAACCAGAGGCTGCTGCATTTCGCTGTATATTTCGCTTTGCATGCTATTGCTATTGTGCTTAATGCTGTCTGACAACTCCAGCAGCATCTGCCTGGGCGGTAATCCTCCTCTTGTAGGCCTGCACATCGCCCGGGAACTTCTCGACCGTGCCGCTATCGCACACCCACAGCGATGTGCACACCGTCTGCAGCATCGTCACGTCGTGGGAAACCATCAGCACACCTCCCTGAAACTCCTTGAGTGCCGCCGACAAGGCATCCATGGCCTCGATATCCAAATGATTGGACGGTTCGTCGAGCACCAGAATGTGCGGGTTGGTCAGGGCCAAGCACGCAAAGGCCACACGCGACTTTTGACCTCCAGACAGCAATTCCATCTTTTGCAACCCCGTGGTGCCTGTGATGCCAAAGGCGCCCAGCTGTCGGCGATACTCCTCGTCTGTCCTGCCGGGGTAGTTCTTGGCCATGAAGCCCACAGCGCTGGCGTTGAGGTCCAGGGCGTCGACGTGATGCTGAGCAAAGAAACCGATGCGGAGGCGGGGATTCTGGGAAATGATCCCTGACGACGCCGAGAGCTTGCCAATGAGGAGCTTGAGGACTGTGGTTTTGCCCGCGCCGTTGGGACCCACGATACCAATCCGGGAATCCAGCTGCACGTCGAGGTCGACGTTGCGGAGGAGAACGTTGTCCTTGGTGTACCCAAACGTGACCTCGGACATCTGGACGATCGGTGGGGACAGCTTCTCCACATCGGGAAACTTGAAGTGGACGCTGTACTCGGCCTCGGGTGCCTCCAGCACCGGCATCTTTTCCAGCTTCTTGATGCGGGACTGGGCTTCCGACGACTTGGCGGCATTGTACCTGAACTTGTCGATAAAGGCCTGGAGATGGGCCCGCTGTGCCATCTGGTTCTCGTATTCGCGCTTAGCCGTCTTCTTGCGCTCTTCCTTGGTGGCGTAGAATGACTCAAAGTTGGCACCGCGGTAGTAGTCCAGTCGCTGCGAGTGTTGGTGGATAATGTCGGTTGCCACCTCGTTGAGGAAGGCTCGGTCGTGGGACACCACGAGGACGGTGCTCGGGTAGCCTTGCAGGTAGTTGGAAAGGAAGGTAATAGACGGGACGTCCAACATGTTGGACGGTTCGTCGAGAAGCAGGAGATCAGGCTCGCAGAACAGAGCACGAGCAAGAGCCAAACGCATACGCCAACCACCAGAGAAGGTCTTTGTGGCGAACTGCTGGCGCTCGGGAGAGAAGCCCAGACCAGCCAAGATGCTAGCTGCCCTGGATTCGGCCTTGTCGGACTCCATCTCGGCAAGTTTGCCCTGGATGTCCCCCAATGTTTGGTCTAGGGCCTCGCGCTCCTTGTCGATCTTGGCCGCGTCGGCAGACGTATCTGCCAGAGGAGCTCGTTGCGCCTCCAGGTCTGCCAGCTTGCCCGTGATTTCCTACTGACTGTCAGAGAGGCGGACAGGTGAGGGTAAAAGAACTTTGAACTTACACCCTGCTCCTTGAGGAGAACCTTGCGCCAGACATCTGCGTCGAGGACGGCTTGGATGGCAGGTGTGTCGTCGCCGG